ACAAAGAGGCGATCCCAAGTGCTTTACACAAGGCAAAGAAATACATTAGAATAACATTTCAAAACAAACCGAAAATAATCAACAGAATAAATAAATTGAGATTCCAAATTAGGATTAAGTCAAATAAAAATGCACAAATAAAAGCCCAATTATAGTACAATTGTTGCAATAGTTGTTACAATGCAGCAACAAGTTAAAGCTTGCCTTAAACTCAAAGGAAACAAAACAGTATGAAACCAATCAGAAACCAAACTGATTCCAAAATTCACCCATCATCACAAGCAAATGTGGTAGTGCCTTGCGTGTACAATTAGTGCTGTTCTCCCCATTGTCAGTGGTAACATCTAATGCCTGCTGCTGCCTATGAAGGTGCTGGTGAAGTTGAAGTTCGCTCTTTGCTGCTCTGTCTGCCTTCGCTTGCAACAATACCAAGAAAATGTAATGGCTGAACATGAGGTAGATATAGGTATCAAAGGGGATTCTGAGTGCACTCACAGCTGCTTAAATCAGAATTTAATTAACAGTGCTATGCTCTCAGTTCTTCAGTTTCACTCTATAGCACCAGACACATGAACCACTGATTCACTAACTTTTTTTTTCACCCTACGGGCATGTCATGTGACATTATCACCATTGGTATCCTGTGGCATAAGGAGGGCTTCATGCATGCAGTGTGAGTGTCACAATGTTGTCACTTTCTTGGCGCACACAGGCCAACTGGCACGGACACATGACCAACCTACAGAGGGCCAGTGGCTGGAAACCGTTCCTGCGCACTAAACTTCTCAGGCTGGGGACCAGATGATTCGATGTGACATGACAGGTGGATAACGGTACAGGGGACAGCTGGATGCCATGCCCCGCAGGCCTGCTGGGATCTAAAGAGTCTGCAGTTCAGAGCCGATTGAACCTAACTCGCCATTTCCCAAGCTTTGTTTGCTGTGCCACTGCCCACAATGCAGTGAGCACTAATGCTGAATAGTTATAAAACAAAAAATAGAAAAAGGTAAAGACTGAGCCAGACATTGCCACTGCTGGGAGTTGAACAGTTGGCCTGCATCATTTCTGTGGTCCAAGTCAGCCAATTAGTGACAAACATGATTCCACAGGCAGCGCTGCCTCTTATTAATTCATGACTGTTGGAGAAATAGAATGTGAGATGTCTGCTGGTAGGGATTACCATATTATTGGCAGCTGCTTTTGTATGTCCACCTCAGCTAAGAACTGTCATAGCTAATTTGTATACCTGTTCTTGTAATTGTTAGCAAATAATACCCACGGTCTGGGAAACACAGCCTTTTTTTTTTTTTTTACAACCTTATAACAGCTTGTGACAGCTTTCATTCCTGGCCAGGTTGTACTGTGGTGAAATTGTTGGTGAACAGTTCAACAGAACAGCTTCAAATGAGTTTATAGCAAGTTTTCTTTTTTCAGCCATCGTAAACATCAATACCAAATGTCAGGTTTTGGTGGTGGGCCCTGTGGACTCGCTATTTTGCTCTGATGTTCAGCCGTCTCACAGGGAGAATTCCATTGTGAAAAGCCAAAGATGTCAGTTTTTCCACTGACAGCAGTGCAGCCACAAGACATTTGACTAACGGAGCTTACTCTACTTTTTTAACTGCTGGGGAAAACTCACTTTCTCACTGTAAATACTATTTCGACCAAAATAGTAAATTGCGATGTTTATTTTATCAAAGAATAACTATAACAGATTGATGATTCATAGAGATGAGGTGCTAGATAGATGTTTTTCTTAAACCTCACTGACTAGTGCAAGTCATTACAAATGTATGCTATGCAGCCAAGCAGTTATTCTAGTGGAGATTCAGACCTGGCATGTTGATACTAAAGGGTTTGCTATTTTTTGGCAGTTTCTTCAGAAACTTTGGAAAAAACATTTCCTGCGTCCCTAGCAATTTATTTGATTATCTACAAGATATGGAAAATTTCAGGAGCATTCAAAGCTAAATGCTTTGATTTTGTCTGTGACTTTATTTTCTAAACTCTAAACCTGTGTGTAATGAGCCTGAGAATTGGATTGGATTAACTCTGGATAATTGCAATAAGATTGAAATCAGTTTCAATTAGACCACAGCTACAGTTACGTTACTCCCGTCTGGGTGTTGATTTGCGATTTCGTTAATTTGGAATTAGAGTATTAGTCTTCCAACACACTCTCTTTCTCTTTCTATCTCTCAAGTTAGGGCAGATTTTCTAGGTTGGGATCCTCATTATTAATCCTGTGTATTCTGTCCCCAAAAGAACGGCAACATGTTACTGGATTATCTGTTTGGACGGGCCATATTAGCAGTTTCCACGAGCAGTAGAGTGGTGTTTGTTGGCTATTTTTCTCAAGTGAATACACCTGTTTATCAATGCATGGGGCTAGTCAGTGCTATATGATGATCTGATTGTTCACAGGGTTGCCAGCACTGTAAACAGGTCTATTGCTGCTGGTAAATTGTGTGTATATTCGTGTGGCACTGGCAGAGCTGAAACACTCTCAGTTACAGAGAGAGAAATAAGAGGTGATGGCAGCATTTCAAGTTGCAACTGCAACATAGCAAGAGATGCCCTACAAACTACAACAACAAAAAACTTGAAAGCTCGCCAGCACTGCTCCCAGCATCATTTTGCCTGAGTGACCTACAAAAGTCTAAAGCAGATGAAAGATTTCCTCATCCTCATCCATTTAATACTTCTTACAAGACTTGATGTGTTGCCTACTTCTCCGTCTGATAAATAAAGCTTGACATTTCTCAGGGGAGTAAGCTCTGAAAATGTGCAATGCACTGTGCATTTGAGAACTGTAACACGCACAATGAACAGTAGGGGGAAGCAACGCCGTAAAAAAACATTCATCTACGTCCACGAAGAAACAAGGAGGGCACAGAATTAGACTGTCTAGAGCAGCTCTCTGTAATAGAGATTCAATTAAATGGCATTTTCTTTGTGTTGGTTTAGACTATTATTTGAAAGTACAACATGTAAAACCTTCTAATATTGCTGCCTCTGATGTGAACCTGGTGGTGTGTGTGTGTTTGAGTGTGTATGGGCTGAATCCTATCTAGTTATAATCAATATGTTACATTTCTAATCACATCTCTTTACTATATAATTAAGGATTTTTGTGAACCAACATATCTCCTCGGTATTCTAACACCTAGAAAGCACAAACGCAAATCCGATAAGATATTAAAACATTCAGCCTTATATGTAATTTATGTATTTTGTAGCATGCCAGTCTATGCGGTGTGATTCTGTGGAGTCGTTTGCTGTATTGTTTAGATTAGGAAAGTAATTTAGACAGGTAGATTCCAGCCGCGGATTACGCTATCAAAGGTCAGTTTTCATTACACGGGTTCACTAAATGCACAGAAGATATTTATTTTAATGATGTTTCAAATCGTATCTTGACGAGTGAAGTAAAGCGGAACGCTAGATGCCCGTCCGCCTGCCTGCTAACAGAGTGCTAATGTTAGCCAGCAGCCCAGCAGTGTGACAACGTTAGCGTCAGACCATTGTTTCTCACCCTGACGCGTTCAATGTGCCTGTTCGATTCTTAACGTTAACCCTAGTCGTCGCGAACAAACAGCCATTGTAACGGCGGGACAGCCGTTACTGAACACCGCGTTTCACGTTAAGCAGTTAGCGTTGCTGTTAAAGTAAACGTTAACGTTAGCTCTCGAACGCAAGTGACGCTAGCCAATAACAGTGCGGTTTGTCAGTTGGTCAAACGGTTAATATCGGTTAATATCAGTTGACCGTTACACATTAGCAGTTAGTATACATTCGTTAATGTGGCTTTGACGTTAACGGTAATGTTAGCCGACGCTCCAACGCTGCTGACTGGGTGCTCGTACAGCAGCGTTATGTGCCACATATTAGCCTTATTACAAACAAAAAAGGTTTCCGAACAACACTTACGGTATTTTAATGCTATTTAGCTGTTTCTTGGGCTTGTAAAATAGAGGAATAACCCGCTATTAGGTCCACGTTGGCAGTGAATCCCACCCCCGTACCGAGGTTTGCCTTGTCTGGAATACATAGTTTAAAATAATGTGATTTAAACGCTATATTGCACAGGAGTTATATAACGTTACCATTTATTATATATACAGATTGGTGTTAAAATGCGCCCACTGTGTAACAAGTGAAACTATGAAACATCACTCTTTGTCGCTTATTGTGTAATGTTGTATTATTCTGTCCAGGTTAAACTGTATGCAATTTATCAATGAATCCTGCATTGTGTGCTTTCATCCAGCAGAGGGCACTGCAGCATAGCCTTTATTCCTCAGGTTTGCAAAGAACACTGGAAAGGAATACAAAGAAATCATAGATTAAATCAGCATCTTAAAAGCCCTTCCTGTAAGTTCCTGCTAAGGTTGTACGATATGGTAAATAAGTCATATTGCAATTATTTTGTCAGATATTGTGATTGCAATATGATTCCCAATGATCATTTTTGCATGACATTTTACTTTGAAAATGGCAGCTCCTGTGATTTGGATATTGCACTTGTGGTATTGCAATTTTGATAATATTCACATTCAGTTCCTGTAAGTAAAGTTTTTTTTATCAGGCTTGCTCAAATAAGCTTCACAGAATAGGTGACACACGTGGCGCTCCTCTTGTTTGGCAGTAGCTGTGATTAAGGCATTTCTAGGTGTCATTAAAGACTGACTTCAGGCATCAAAGAAACGTCTGAAAGGTAGGGGGAAGTTCCCACACACATTTTCTTCCCAAATAGGCTTTTTTTTTTAGTGGTAGACTGGCTAATTCCCTCTGACTTTTCCCACAGTGTTTAGTGGCAGAAACCACATCCAGGATACAGAGGCTCACTTCCCACGCAGTGATTTAGAAGAAGTCAAAGGTTAAAACACAATGATATTGTTCATATCTTCAGAGCTCAACCTGGGCTGTGCTTTAAATCAGCATTTTAATGAGGTATTCTCTCAATTCTTTTAGTCTTTTTTAACATATATGACACACGTGTTTTTAAAGTCATCTTAAGAAAGCTTTTTAGCATGTAGGCATTCTCTTATCTCTGATTGTGAGGCAGTACCATAGCACTACTTCCTCCTGTTGAAAATAGGCTACATTAGCATCTCAGGAGTCGGGGTGGTTGTTTTTTTTTTTGTTTTTTTTATTCACTTGCTCAATAGTGATTGATAGCAGCAAGACATTTCTATTAGAGGAAATGTGGCTGGCCAAGAGGAGGTTTGGAGCCAGTACTGGGAGGAGTTTGGACAGAAGGCAGAAGAAGGCGATGCCGCTGCACAAGGAGCCGTCTGCTCTCTAGTTCCTGGCTGGGCAGCGTCCCCGGTGACAATGCTCCATGCCTCAGTCCAACCCTGTCTCAAAATGTTCAACCCACCTTCTTTGGGCAGCAATGTGTGTCCCCATTTCTTTTTTTTTTTATATCTGGCTGCCCCAGATAGCACAAGACTTCCCATAACTAATCCCTGACCTTTCCAGATCATATATAGGACCAGTGAGGTTTGTATCTCTTACCTTACTGGTATGAGACGTTTCCTATTTTACCATGTCCCACTTCAGGTCCCCCCTGTTGTCACAGAAGTCATGGACGAGCAGACCGGCTCTCCCGGAGCCAACACCGAAAACAACGGGCAGAGAAATGGAGATGAGGTAAGAGCTGAATACGCAGATGCCAAATTTTTCAGTTTTTCCTACTCAAACTGTACGACTCTCCTGCCAGTGTACGTCACGGAGGACTGCTACCTGAACCTTCAGAACATATCTGATTTCTTAATCTTTGCAGAAGCCCCGACGTGGCAGCTGGACCAAGGGGAGGAAGAGGAAGAAGCCGATGAAGGACAGCAACGCACCCAAGGCCCCCCTAACGGGCTACGTTCGATTCATGAACGACAGGCGGGAGCAGCTACGGGCGGAGCGCCCAGACGTGCCCTTTCCAGAGATCACGAGGATGCTGGGCAACGAGTGGAGCAAGCTGCCCCCCGAGGAGAAGCAGGTCAGTACAGAAGCTCCAGGCAGGATTACACACCGAGCGTACAGCCGTGAGAAAACATGTGTCAACGTTCTGCACTCCTTTTCTTTCCACTTTGTTTGTTATTCTGTTTAAGATTACCAGCACAATGCTTGAAGTTCTATCTAAATATTCATACAGATTAGTGCAGCAATAGTGAATAACTAGGGCGATCCAGGTTTTGAGAAAGCAGCGGAGGAAAACAAACAGACCAGAGGCACGAGCAGCCAGCAGCAAAATCTGCTACGGTTTTTTGATTAACAGGGTGGTGGATTTTTAATTGTCATTGCTTTTGGCTTTCAGTAATTGCATCAACGGTGCCTCAAAGGATCGGACTGAAATAGTCATCTGCAACACTTAAGACTATCCCAAGCCACAATTAAACAAGAAGACTTCAATCTGTTTTTCTGTGTTTGCATAAAGTGTAGGAACAGAAGCCCGTAAAATCCACGCTGTCAGTGTTTTGGAGCTGACAAAACACTGACTTACACACGACTGTGTTCGGTAGCTGTTTGACATCTATCCACAGACTGTATCGCCACAGTAGGATAACGTTGCTTATTTATAGAAACGTTATTACAGACAGCTTTAGGCAGATTTTCCGTAAGAATGTGTCATTCCACTGCAAAGATATCTGAGTGGTACCACTATGCTTCCAGGGAAAACATGGATGCCCTTTTCAAAATATCGCAGAACATGAAGCAACAGAATCATAATTGGATTCCACTGCCTTCAAAAGACCAGTGTGTAGGATTAAGCGGCCTCTAGCATGTAGGAGAAACCGTGGTGGCGGTTAGATTAGAGCCAGTGGTTTGACACATAGCGGTTCAACATGACGCCGGCCTCTGTAAAAGATACAAAACGGCTAGTTCTAAGGTAACGGAGACATGACGATTAGATTAAACCTATGAATATTACATTCAGTTACTGCCAGTAGATCCTCCTAATTGTTACACACTGGACCTTTAAGTTCTATCAACATCTCATAGGTTCATCTCAAGAAAAGTCACATTCATCACATTAAATTCTGTCATTTAGAAACATGTCATAAACATTTTTTTAACTGCATGTAACATAATGCCAGAATCATTAGCTTTATTTGTCAGCAAAACACCTCATGTTCTAAGGTATTGATATTACAGCTTTCCAGTGAAGATTTGAGAAGTTTGGACACTTTTTCTTTTTAAATCCAAAGGTGGGATAGAGCCTGGATAGCTTTTCTGCTGATTTGTACCCTTTGTGGTTTTCCACATAGTTTAAAGCTGAGACAGATATGCCAGTATCCTGCGACAAGGGGGTTTTATTAGTGTTTCCTCTAATCCCTAAACTAATTATATTAAAAGATGCATTTTTCATTACAAGTCTTGAGTGCGTGTAGATTATTAATATTGGAAATTACTGATTTTTGTCCTTTTGAAAGGAACTAATCCTCATTAGGTATAATTACTCTCCCTCATCATCCCATCTCATCCTTTTTCGCCAAATCTCATTTCCCTCTTTTTTTGGCGGAGTCTTCCTTGCTCTGCTCACCTTTCCTTTTTTCTCCCTGCAGCGCTACTTGGATGAGGCGGAGCGAGATAAGGAGCGGTACATGCGGGAGTTGGCAAAGTACCAGAAGACAGAGGCCTACAAACATTTCACCAGGAAGGTCCAGGAGAAGCAGAAGGGCAAGCGACACAGGGGAGGTGAGATACGGTTAGAAAAGCAGCAGGAGGACAAGTTGGCATCGACTACTGAAACTAGCGAGTCTGGCAGTTAGCCCACCATCAATTTGATGTACTACAGTTTAGCAAGTAGTTTGCAATTCAAAGACTTCATACTGTATGCCTGGTGACATCTGGGTAAACTGGGTATTATGTTTTATGGACAACTCCTTCCATTCTGGTTGACTGACATAAACAAGCCCATGAGCAAGGCACCGTGCCACTAAATGATCTACCTGGAGCTGCTTTGTGGCTCCAGGTAGAAGACATTTGTTTTGTTGGGAAACTCTTCTGGCTGCTTTTGTGTTTTGCCACTTAAACGTGAATAAAGCAGGAACTCCGTAGGTAGATCATGACACAGACAAATCTGATTTCACACACAGACCATAGACATCGACGTAGACTTATCCAAAAACTGGCCACTGCATAATTTGAATATATTCCATTATTGGGTGTAGGAACTCAGCAGTTGTTATTTGCTCTGCTCAGTCAATGGAAATGTACTTTTCAAGCTCGTAGTAGTAGTTCAGGTTATGAGTACAACACATGGTCTACATTATTTGTTCCTATTATGTTACTCTGGATAAATCTCAGTTTAAATATCAAAAATGTTGATGACATAAACAGCTCTGTCTTGGCAAAATGTTTGCAAGTAAAGCTGCTCTACTTAAGAAGATAATGTGCCTCAATTCAGCAGATTCACAACAGCGAGTGCAGAGGATTTCTTTTGAATTACTTTGATACATTTTATCAGTTCACAATAAAGTGAAGGCACGCTGCGCCAGTGGAAACATGAATCATCTGCTGTCCTCTTTCTTTATTCTTTCCATCCTCTCCAGATGGTGGGCACCAGGTATCCAATGAGGCCCTTCATGAGGTCAGTAACTCTTTTCTGCGCAATCACACTCCCTGTTTGAACTATCCAAACACAATTTGATTTGCTCCACAATTGCTGTCCAGTCAAGGAAAGCCCAGATCTTAACAGAATGACTTATACACAGTCAGCTTTCTTTTGTCTTTTTTTTTTTTTGGCAGAATTTCATGCTGTGTTGTTGTCGCTGTAGGAAGGTGTGATACAAACTGTCAGTGCACTACGTCTTTGTGTTCAGTAGCCTAAACAAAGTAAGAAATTAAATAAGTTTGTGACAAAGAAACTAAAAATGGTCAGCTCTGGTTTTGCCGTAAGTGAATCACATTTTCATTGACAAGAATAGTTTGTGCTTGTATTTATTCATTTATTCATTTTTTACTAAAACCAAAACAAACCTCAAAACATTAATTGTCAAGCATTTCCTATCAAAAACTCAACCGGATGAAACCAGCGACCATGTGCAGTGTCACTAATTTCATTCATTATGAGTTCATGTAATCGTGGTTAGAGTCTGTCTTTGCTGTTTTCTCACCCAGGAGCCTAAATCTGTTGTGTTTGCCTTCCTCGTGCTCTCCACATTAAATGCTTATTGTTGCGTCACTAAAGCTGGGTTAATCCGCTTTGGTGCTGTGTTTGTGTTTGTGATCTAAACGCTTGGCTTCTACTAAGTGTGTAATTCATTTTTATTAAGTTCTGCATGTAATTAAGAGGTTTCCTTTGTAAGTCTTAGAGCGTACTCCTGAAGGGTTACGGCCAAGGTGACTTTATGGAACCAGCATTCCCGTGGGAATACCAGCGTTTCCTCTGTAGATTTCAAAGGGCATGGGATTCAGCATAAATTTGATTATGTTAACAAATGAGGAAGGATGATGCATTCTTTCGGTGAAGGGAGTCTTGTGCTACTATTGTGAAGCACATTTTTATTGCAAATGTATTGCAAACCATTTCAGGGTCTTTGATATCTCAGCAGCGCTGTTGATTAAATTACTTCTCCCTCCTCATTTCTTAAACTGTATCACTGTATTTCCCTTGTGGCCGGGTATGAAATCAATTACCCACCCACCTACTGCCCAGCTAGATAAATGAGCACCTCTCGCTGTCACTCTGTGTGGCCAAATGTTTCCACTCTTGTGCTTATCTCCTCTCCTCTCTCTGTCTCTGGCTATCAACAGAAGGATGGAGAAGGGAAGGACAGGGCTGTGTTTGACATACCAATCTTCACAGAGGAGTTTCTCAACCACAGCAAAGGTAAAGAGCTTGAACGCAGCCAGCCGTCTTGTTGATATATACTTTGTAGTTGGTGTGCTGTGACTTTTTTTAAACCTCCATTTGTCTAAGTGTTTCTAAACACATGCCTCTGCTACCTCAAGAGAACTTGGTTTTATAGTGCTCCATCTTCCCTGAATAGTTCTGCCGTCCACTAATGCCCTAAACTTAAAAAGAACACACCTCTCTGAGCAAATAAAAAATGGATGATGGCACCCAACTGCTGACTGCACGGCCTCTCCGGACCTCTCCTCTGATCCACCGTTGTTTCAGATTTTCCCGTGTGTTTTCCTATTCCTCAACAGCACGTGAAGCCGAAATGCGGCAACTGCGTAAGACCAACATGGAGTACGAGGAGCGCAACGCAGCGCTGCAGAAACACGTGGAGAGCATGCGGGGGGCAGTAGAGAGGCTGGAAGGCGACGTGATGCAAGAGCGGGGACGCAACGGGCTCCTCCACCAACACCTGGAGACCCTGCGCCAAGCGCTCACCTCTAGCTTCTCCTCCGTACCTCTGCCAGGTGAGAACCAAAATCCCCTTTATCCCAGTTCACGACACAAGTTCATATAACATTTCTCTATGCAGTTTTAGAATGAACTTTTTTGGTTTGTTTGATTGTTTCAATAAAGATAAGATAAACAACTCAACGCTCTCCTAGATGACTTGCATTTCTGCAGCCGCCTAAGTTTGTCAGATATTTGCTGATAAAGACTTCTTGTCTCATCTATTAAGACAGAAGACTTGGGCCATTAGTTTTGGGAATGTTGAACGAAAATGAAATATATCCCTCCTTTTTTAATCAACTTTCTGCTGTGTGTGTAAAAATAAAACAAAATTGCTTTGCTTTCATTTCTGAAAGTGTGCAGTGTGAATCTTGGACTTGAAATTTGCTGATATTGATCAATGCAGATTACAAACCACTATTGACTTGATATCTCATACCAGTAATCCTTCCCCAGACACAAACACAAATACTGTAGTAAGCTCTTAGTTCCAGTCACAGTTTAAGGCAGTGAGACATAAATAATAATGTAGGTGTGTTCATACACGCTGTGTATTTACTGTGCTTTGAACTCCAGTGTCTCTCCTCCTGGAGACATATATACTTAAAGAGATTGTACAGTAGAACCACCCACTGTCCTTTTAGAGACTGGCTGTGTAAGGCTGCCTGTGAAGCCTTCTTCCTTTTAACCGGCCCATTGTTAAGGTTTAAGGAATGTGGTGCATCTTTGTTCACACTCGTTTTATGCACATACAGAACTGAGCTCCACAACTATTTGAATTTCTTACACACACAGCGGAGACGAGGAATCTGAAAACACTGCAGAAATCATTTTATAAGAACACGCCTCCAGTTAGGAGAAAGTGTCAATAAATTGATAACTGGTAATTTTTAACTTAATTTGTAGCTTAATTGTGCCATTTCCATTAATTAACATACTTTATGTAGATAGAATTCACAACTTGAGATGCCAGGCCTTGCACTTGCTCAATATCAGATATTTCAGTATTTCTAGATTTAATTGTTCTATCATGCACTTCCTGTAGTCTTGATGGGTTTGGTAACAATAGGCCTCA